TTATTTTATTTTTTATTGTTTCTCCGTTACGGGTTCACATCAAGTATTGGTTGGTATACAACAAAATACTTAACACTATTGATTATAAAGTAGTATAAGAGAAATATAATCTTCAGATTGGTTACAAACGGATATTGACAATACTACACAGTTGCAAGCTTTTCTGTTTCTTAATGCTAATTTATATTCAGAAATTTACGCACTATCGATGATGTAGATAATATCACAGATTTTTGTATGGCCCTTCGCTTTTCTACCATGTTGAGTTTTTCCAGGCTAGTGTTCAATGATTTTGGAATAACTCCTGTTGTCGAAATTATAACTGGAATCACCTCTACTTTTTCTAATTTCCACAAATCCTTGATCTCGTATGCTAAGCTCTGGTATTTTCTGTATTTCTCCATATAACAATCTTGAAGATTGTGAGTATTTGGTACGCCTATATCTATCAGGAACGCTTGATTCACTTCTTTTTCGACCACTATTATGTCCGGCCTATTGTGTGGCATTGGACGGTCCGTCAAAACTGATCGGTCCCAATATAGCTTGCTCGTTCTGTTTTCAATTACAGCGTCTGGAGTATATTTAAAGTACGGCAGCTCTTCCGTTACTAGCTTATGTTGTATCGCTAGACTCTGGTGTACAATTTTTGCCACCTGGTTATGTCTGGTTAAGTATTCGGTGGCTGCTAACGTGACACAAGCTCCTGTGATGTGGTGGATGGTTTCTGTTTGCTTTTGGCATCGTCTGCATAGGTCGTTTTCAACGGAAGCACGCATAATATATTTCGAGTAGTTTCTAGTCGCAATAACTTGATCTTGTATAGCGATCATAAAACCTTCAGTTTCGGCGTAAATGCCGGAGTGAATTAACCATTCGTTGGAAGCAGCGTTATCTACTTCAGGAGCGTCTAGAGCATGTGGATATCTGCCATGAACCGCTTTCATTTTCCAGTCTTGCATGAGCGACTGGATATGTTGCGTTCCTGATATTAATTCGATTGCAGAAAATTCACTAAGATTTAATGGTGAATATTTTAAATCGGCTTTGCACACGGTTTGGAGTAGGCTGTTCTCTTGGTTGTGGAAGTATAAACGAAGGCTTTGTTTACACTTATTATGTAATTGCTTAATGTCTACCATCCCTCGACCTCCCTGTCGACGTGGCAAGTAGAGACGTTCTACTGCCGATTTTGGGTGATGCGTGCCATACTTTGTCAACAATGTCCTTGTTGCTCTCTTGACGTTTTCCAGTTCTGTTTCGGACCATTTTACTACACCAAAGGTGTATGTTAAAACCGGTATCGCAAATGCATTAATGGCTTTAAAAAGGTTATTCCCATTCAAGCATGATTTCAGCAAGCTCTTTACTCTTTGGAGGTATTCACTAGTTATGGCTGAAACTATTTCACTGTGCTGCATCCTCCTAGCCTGTAAAATACCAAGGTATTTATATGTGTCGTCTTCTGTCATCGAGTCTACAGTTTCATGAGTCATTAATTCAAATTCTCGCCTTATAAGTTTTCCATTTTCCACACTTAATCTTCGACATTTTTCTACTCCAAACGACATTTTTATATCATTTGAAAAATCTTCTGTTTGTTCCAGTAGCGTATTCATTTGACGTTCATTTGCAGCATATAGCTTTATGTCATCCACGTACAGTAGGTGTGAAAGTCTATATTGCGATACACGCGGTGCTTTTAAACTAAAGCCGTAGTTTGACGCATTTAGTATCGAAGAAAGTGGATTTAACGCCAGACAAAACCATATCGGACTCAAGCTATCTCCTTGGAAAATACCTCTTTTAATAGGTATGGGAGCGGTTTTTATGAGTCCGTTGTTATGAAATAGTTTTAAAGTAACTTTCCATGAGTTCATAAGTTGCTGCATAAGACGTTTTATGTTCGGCGATATTTTATAAATGTCTAAAACCTCCAAAAGCCAAGAATGCGGAACAGTGTCAAAGGCTTTTTTGAAGTGGATATAAGATGTATAAATATTTCTTTGATTATGGTATGCTTGCTCCATTATGACTGTATCAATTATCAGCTGCTCTTTGCAGCCTTTGCTGTTTTTAACACATCCTTTTTGTTCGATGGCTAGAATGTTGTGCGTATCAAGATGAGTACATATTTTTTCGGCTAAACAAGATGTAAGAATTTTATATAGGGTACATAGGCACGTGATGGGGCGATACTTAGAAGGGTTCTTCGTATCTTTTGGGTCCTTTGGTAGCAGATATGTACATCCCTTCATTAAGAAGTTCGGTACTTGGGATTCATGTTTGAGGAATTTTGTAAAGTGTTGAGCTACCATACTGTGTGTGCATGTAAACTTTTTTAACCAATAATTATAAATACCATCTGGCCCTGCAGCCCGCCAATTTTGAGTGCTCTCTACAGCTTTTTTGATATCGGCCTCACTGAAAGTCGCGTCTTCCATAGCTTTTATAGATTCCGTTCTCTTGTACTCATCGTGGATCCACGCTGAATCGGTTGCATGTTTCGTGCTGGTTGACCATATAGACTTCCAGAAGCTTTCGATTTGCTCGGCGCTAGGTACTTCGGTTATATCTTCAGTCTTGTTGCGTTTAAGGTTTCTATAAAACCCTCTTTCATTTCGCTGAAATGATATGTTTTGTGTTCTTCTCTTTTCTGATAGAGTATACCTACGCAAACGGGTTGACTTAACAGCTAGTTTTTGGCGGATAGTATCTAGGTATTGTTCAGCTGTTTCATTCGACGGATCATGTTTGGAGTGCTTTTTATTTTCGAGTTTAAAAGTTTCATACCAGTTACGCATCTTTTTCGTCCGGTTTCCGTTCATGTACTGTATTAGCCGACCAATTGTAGCACGTAGCTCTTTTATTTGAGACGCCAGTCTGTGTTTCCATGGCGGATCGACTGACTTCTTTTTGGGAGGTATTCTACGGCTAACAGTTTTCCCTCCAGTGAAACGAATAACGGCTGTTGCAGCCACATATATTGCAGTCTGCAGTTCTTCAAACGTGTAATTATTATTTAAAATAAAAGTAGGCAATATTTCTTTGTTCATAATAGAAGTCGCTATAGCCAAACTTTTTGTAGCTTTTTGTTTGGGAAGAAATGGGCGTAGTAATGGATCAGTACCATTGAACTCTATCATTGCAGCATTGAATTCATTTCTTAGTATCGTCAAGTTTTCATTTTCGTCAACATTTGTTAATGCGTTTATCGCTTGGTGTTCGTCATGTTGATAAATATCGTTAACAGGCGTCATACAATCATCATTTTGTTGAGTTCTACCGATTTCAATTTCGGTAGATAGCTGGTTTTCTACTTCATTCTTTAATTCGTTGAGTCTTCGGGCTGATAGATACTTATTTCTAATTATTGCACTCCGTTGATCCCCTATCCTTTGTACTGATACATTCATGTTAGGGTATGCTTGCTTAAATAGTTCGTGCAGTCGTGTCCTATATCCGCTTTTGTTGGTTTCGTTTCTGGTAACAAAATAGTAGCTCCGCATGATGTGCTCATTCATTTCTTTGGTCCATTTCATGCGTTGCCCTGGAGATACCGCCCTTGTGGTCACCAATTGACTTGGTGAAACACTCAGGAGCGGTTGCAAAATCATATTCATATCCGGTTCGTCATTCGGTTGATCAGGCTGTAGTGTCCCGCATCGCCCCTGACCATTGCGATGCTCGTCCGAGGCTTCCCTTAATATATTAGGAACCATAAAGACACTTGTGCGGGTGGTTAGCCCTTACAAGGTTGGCTGTGACATGCGTGTTTGCCAAGCACGTAAAGGGATTACCCTTTTCACTGCATTTATTATTTTTTTTATTTTATTTTATTTTATTTTATTTTATTTTATTTTATTTTATTTTATTTCATTTCACGTGAACGCAAGGCTCCACGCTCACCACGTAAGCACACGAATCACTTATGGCCACTCCCTGGTGAATGGCAGTCAGAAGCTTTGCAGTACTGGGAAATGTACAGAACGTAGTGGTCAAATGCGAATATCTCAACTAAACCTTGATGTATTTTTATGATGAAATTATTAAGCTAGCATTTCCTGGTACTATTTGTGAGTATATAGGAATAAATTTGAGTTTGTTTTATCATTCTGTGATGAACATGGTGGAAAAACCCAACGAGAAAAACACTTATCTTGCGTTAAATCTTGTTGTGAATGATTTAAACGAGGTTCCAGAAATAAGAAAAACCTACTATATTCTACCCTAAAAAAATGTGATAACTTTTTTTTCACTAATCAATGACACGCAAGAATTATGCTCCTAATATATCACGTTTGTGTGAAACAAGATGGTCCGAAATGTATACATAGCTAACAGAACATTTTCAGAAAATTTTTCTGAAGATGTGGAAGCTTTAGAAAAGTTGTCAATTCAAGGATGCTTTTCCACAAGAAAGTCTGCGTATCAATTGTGTGCTGCTATAACAAGGTCGAGGTTCATCATTGCTTTAATGACAATTGCTTAATATTCTACTATGCTGGAACCTGAAGAAAACATTTTGCAAATGAAGACAATAACTAGACCTCATCGCCGTTGGTCAGCATATTGAAAATATTTTGGAGGTGGCTAGTAATGATCGCAAGAATGCAGAAATAGTTACTACAGAGTTAATTAAAAATCTCGTATGATTACAGCCGATCTAGGAGTTGAAATTTCACTACGTTTGGCAGGTAAACAAAAAACAGAAGTAACCCCCATCGGTCAAAGAAAATAAATATTGGCGACGCACAGTGATACAAAAAAGGTTGACAAATCAATGTTGAGAGCCCAAATATGAACCGATTTCAAGTTTCTCTTTTTTTAAATAAGAGATAATTAAATTTCGCGTCGATCTGTCCATGGTGATTTTTAAAAAAACTATTTTTTATTTATTTATGTTGAAAAATTAAAGAAAAAAATTTTATGTTTGAATGCTTCCACTTTTTCGGAAAATACTTGAAGTTCATTTCAAATGCCTGGAATTATTTAAAAAAAAATATTCATAAAAATTTTTCATTGGAAACATTTAATTAAACAATTTATTTAATTTGTAATCTGTACTTATATACTATATTTTGAAAGCCGTCTTTTTCTATTCGAAAAACTCGAGAACAGCTGTACCGATATTTTTGAAAATTTGGGCTGGACTGGAGTCGATGTCCCTCCAAAGATGATAATAGAAAAAAATAATTTCGACATATCAAGGGGGCGTGGCACTTCCCATACAAACTGAAGTTTTCACTTAACATATCTCTGGAAGTATTCATCGTAGAGCGTTGCAACTTAGTGTAGAGATATAAAATAGCAACGGCAAACTCCTGGCAAAAATGAAAGTCTTTAAAAAAGAGGGCGTGGCACCTCCTATACAAACTGAATTTCTTACAACACATACGCATTCTAATGTGAGAAATTCAGTTTGTATAGTAGGTGCCACGCCCCCTTTTTCAATAACTCCCATTTCTCTATGAGTTTGGCTTACAAAACAGTCCACAAAGAGTAACACACAAATTTTTACTTTTAACGCAACGCAGCAGCATTAGCAGAAGCGCAAAGTTGGGTCTTCTTTTATTTTTTTCAAAAAATTTTGAAATTTTTATATTAGGTAGAGTTATAAAAAAAGTTCCAACGACTACAGCAATTTCTCTTCAACAGTTGGAAAACCCAACAAATTGCCAATGTAAATCTATCACGAACTGGTCCCTCCCTTTTCGCCCTTCATTAAATAGAGCATCTTTTTCTTCAGTCGTTTATTGGCACGAATCGAGAATATATTAGGACAAACATGTTTACTCCATATGTATTTAATAAACGTATAGATTGTCATAAAGCTTGGTATCCAGAGACTTCGTCGTCACTGGTTTGGAAAAATATTAAATTTTCAAAACTAAAAATGGCGAATCCAATATGGCGGACCACTTTTTTAAAATTATAGTTTGTTATGAATCTTGGTATTCAGAGATCTTCGTTATCTTTGATTACGAAATTGAAATTAAATTCTTAAAGTAAAACGCTTATGTTCGGGACACCATATTTGATCCGCCATTTTGAATTTTTGAAAATATAATATCAATTTCGAAATCAGTGACGACGAAAATCCCTGGACACGAAACTTCATAACAATCTATACATTTTTGAGGAAATCATCCGCCATTTTGATTTTTTTTTTAATTAAACATCAATTTCGAAATCAGTGACGACGAAAAGCTCTGGATACCAAGCTTGATAACAAAACTATACATTTTTTAATAAATCGTCCGTAATATTGGATCCGCCATTTTGAATTTTGGAAATTTAATTTAATATTCAAATTCAGTGACGACAAAAATCCCTAATTACCAAATTTCATTGAAATCTGTCAAATACATATCAATTTCGAAATCAGTGACGACGAAAATCTCTGGATACAAAGCTTCATAACAATGTAGACATGTTTTAAGAAATTGTCCGCCATATTGGATCCGCCATTGTTAATTTTGGAAATTTAATTTAATATTCGAAATCAGTGATGATGAAAGTCCCTAAATACCAAATTTCATTTAAATCTGCCAAATACATATGGAGTAAACACTTTTGTCGTCCTATATTGTCGATTCGTCCGTATGTGCGGCGGATGAAATATCCCTCTCGCTATTTATTAAAACAAATATTTTGAAATGAAATTTACCTAATGACGATCCAGCAGAAAATGAAGTAATTTTATGCGTTGAAATAAAATATCTCTATTGTGGATTTCCATTTTATCGTTAGTGATCTAATTTTATGTGATTTATTTTCATTAATATTAACTGATCTAACTACTGTGTTAATTTTGTATTGTTATTTTCTTCATCTTTTAATATGTCCGCGGAAAAATTATATGGTCACCAGGAGGAGGTTATCAGTTGGTCAGAATATTTTTTTTTTATGTATGTTTCCGCATAACTTTGGACCACGTTCACCGATTTCTATAATTGTTTTTTAATACAAAGGTGGTACCTCGGATGTTGTCCTATAATAATTTCGTATAGATCCAATCATTGGATTATAAAAAACTAACGGTACCCTTAAATTTGTATATAAGAATTGAAGTCGGTTTTGTTTTTCCACCGACTTCAAGAAAAGGAGGAGGTTATCAATTCGTCGGGTTATTTTTTTTTATTTGTGTTACCGCATATTTAGGATCACGTTAACCGATTTCTATAACTCTTTTTTTTTAAGGACAGGTGGTAACTCTGAGGTGGTCCCATACTAATTTAGTTTAGATACGATCATTGGATCATGGAGAAATTAACGACACCCCTGAGAATTGAAGTCGGTTTTATTTTTTGCTTAAAACAAAACTTGTTTACTTAACCCTCGTCCGTGCGACTAGGTACAGTTGTAATTTTCGCGGTTTTAATCTGCAATAACTTTTTTTCCAGAAAACTTGGAGGGCTGGATCTTCGTGACATATCTGCATTTTTATTGCGCCACATGTTCCCCAAATTTAAAACGAAATGGGCGACTATTTTCTGAAATAGAGGGTCGAGTTGAATTTAAGCCACGTCAGGGCGCATAGGTACAACTGTACCTTAATGTATCTGGTATGAAGAAGAAATCAGATTCTTATTGTTTTTAATGATATATAATTTTGTTTTATAAAAAAGGAACACAAACGGAGCTAATTCATATTGGGAGCGATATAAACTATACAAGAGTTATCAAGCGAGACAATTCAATTTAAGAACAACAATTTAGGATATACATTTGGAAATTTTTGAGAGTTTGTTCGAAAGAAATACGCGCTGTTTTTGAAACTGAATGTTTATCACAAATAAGATACCACTTGATATGCAAAGCTTTCGAGTTTTTCGTTGTTCCATGTTTGATTCCCGACAGATGTAGCAACTTCCAGTGGTAGGTGAGGCTCCGCGGCTGCCATGAGATACTTGAGAGACAGCTGATATAAATGTCACAACGCGCAACGGCCAAGCACCATTTCTACTTCACTTCGAAGGAAATGGCTTCTCATCATCATTCCACTTGCACTTCGAGGTTCAACTGGGGGCATGCATAGATTATTGGATAGATCTTTGAGAAAATTTCAACGTTGATGTTTTGCCTGAAACCGGCAATGATTTTTGAAGATTATGTAGGATGCCAAATCAGTGAGGCCAATCATATTGTAAATAAAATTATAGTTTAAAAAACTAAAACCTCCCTATTATAATTGCCATTCGTACTGTCATCAGGTATGTAACTTGAGAATAGAAATCGCTGCATCTTTTAGGCGCATCAATATTACATAGTTACATCCCGAGCTAATAAAAGGAATGTAAAAAAACCCAAAGGCCAGCGCAATGTTCGACGTTTCACGATATATTCTCCAAGGATTTCATCCATTACATCGACTACAGCTTTGGTTTTATTGTAATAAGTTATAATGTGTTGCTTGGACGCTTGAGTGTCATAAGCCTCCCGTCATGTGCTTGGCTAAAAGGAGAACGACTGCTTTATTCTTCTTTGATACATAAATATGAACATAGCACCTCTATTGAAGCCGAAATTTATTGATTTTATAGGCCTTTCTTTAGCGGAATCGCATCACTTCTGTTGTGGTGGTTATGGCACACCATTATGAAAAATATTGAATATATACGTACATAATTATGTATGGAGGGTAGTTATCGTTGCGGTCTACTCGTGCATGTTTTGGGGTGTATTTTATGCAGGTTACTGTGTTTTTATTTTTATTTTTTATTTTCTTTTAACAATTGTCATAACATGTTATCAGTTTTTTTATAAAAAAATTAAAACCTATGTTAAAAT